TATGAACAAATTGTAAATATAAAAAAGTTCCGTCCTATCATTCTCTACAAGCTGATATATTTTTTAAATTCTAGTGACGGGTCCCTTAGAATTTTCAAGCAGGAATAGTTCCGCGATCAAAGGGTTAAAGCGAGATTGAAATTCTTCACGAAGGAGCCAATTGTTTGCAAAGGTCGTTCGAAGTAGAGACCTTCCTTTAGTACGCAACAGCTGGAAAATCGTGCAAAAGGGGGGGCCTCCGTTGGTCGAGTTTTCCCTCCCCCCCTGTCGAGCAAGTCCATTCCCCTCTTAGCGTCGATTATAACGGGGCGCTGGCGTCGATTGCACGTGAAATTGGAGCGGACTTCGATCCTTTCCCGAACGGTACCCGGCATTTGATCGGCCTTAGCCCCCGCGTTCCACGAGGAAATAATATTACAGGCGCGCGCGCCCGCCGCTGCCTCGAGTTTCTAATGAGCCCCTCCAGACTTTGCTGGGGCCCGTTCCTTTACTCGACGAATACCGTAATTCTCAATGGACGTTGTTTTTTTCTCTTTTTCTTGCTTCCTCCCCTTCGTCTCTCTTTCTCCTGCCGTTTTTCTTACCCCTCTGTCCGTTCCCCCTCCAACGATGCCCGACCTGGCCCCCTCCACTCGGACCCGATGCGCCTCCTGTGGCCATCTCGCGGGCGAAAGTCGTGTGCGTGAAACGGTGGGTTGGCGATGGGAACAAGTACCCCGAAATGCAACATTGGAAACAAATCCTTGGTTAATTTTATTTTCATTTATTTTGTTTCTTTTGCATTCGTACATGTCCGCTGTTTATTAAGTCGAATAGCAATCCCTGACTGTACTTCGACTCTCTGCAATTCCAATCACAACCAGGGGATGTTCACTCATGGTTTTTAGAAAGGACCCAATTTTGCAATCCTACAGGACTGTTCAATACCGACGTAAAAGTATAATGTTAATAGCGACCAATGAAACTATTATTAGGTTGTCCCGTAAGTTTCTTTCGCGAGTTGCACTCAATTATTTTTATGTGGTCGTGTTTATATAAATAGGCGATCTAATTTCATAGATATTCATGTTGCAACAGTAATGGAGCAAACTGAATCGTGCACAATTCGGTAATGTAACATAAAACGTACGATATTGTGCGTGTATTAGTTATTAATAAAGCGAAAGAAACTTGAAGCAAAATGAATCGTGCACAATTCGGTAATGTAACATAAAACATAAAATATTATGCATGTATTACTTATTAATAAAACGAAAGAAACTTTTAGGATAACCTGATAGTTACAATACTAAACACCACATTAACGTCATCAATTCTCGCGATTTTTATTTTGTATCCGGTGGGTGTTCATACACGTATGTGAACTCCTCCTGATCATACCTAATACCTAATACACGCGTACATGTACGACAATAACGATAGCGAGTATCTAAAAATCGATTACAGTGTCAGTCCCATCGCTAGCCAACGTTAGTTGGAGTACTACCAGCGAAACGTATGTTTTTCGTGCGTGCGCGCGCGATCACGTTTTGTGGGGAGTTGCTGGACCGCTCTTGGGACTTTTCCTCTCTCCTTTTCTTCGTCGAGCACGGTGAAACGAGGAAGACAGAGAGGAGAGATCCTTGGCGAGAGTCCTGGAACCCAAGACGAGCGAACGAGCGACTCCGGTTACAGACTTCAAGGCTTAATGCGTATACTCCCGCGTTCCGTCAATCGTGGATTTACGAACGGTCACGGGAAAAATTCTTGCCGTGCGTTGTTATTGTGTCGACTTGCATCGCCATTACGGTCAATCTGTTTCAGACGTTTCCGAATAGGGGGCGTCCCGATGCGTTTCTATAGAAAGAACAGATTCTCACGATTCTAGCACACGATTTTTTCGATTCACCACAAATATTATCGCGATAATTATATTTCGTAAAGAGTAATCGGATACGGTTAATTCGCTTATATTTCGTAATTATACCTCGTAAAGATTAATTAAATACAAACAATTCGCTTATATCAATGCTTTTCTCGATTTTTCGTTTTCTCATCTCTCTCGTTTTCTTCTCGCCTCCGTTCACTTCGCTTCTTCCCTTGTCTCTCGATTTAACTAACTCAACTCCTCACAACGATCTATCGAGACGTTTCGATTCAATAACGATTGCCGACATATACATAGGATTCGGTTAACTCCGAACAGAAGCTAGAGGAGGTCTTAAATATTTGAGTTCATGCATTTTTCGCGCCAATTTTGGATCCTCCTCTTGATTCGATTCCTAATCTTGATCTGCCTTGATCTTAATACTGTTTCTCTGCAGTGACCTCGAGTTATTCGAGGTTCGTTGCAGGTAACGTTGAATGACAAGGTTGTTTCAAGGTCGTCCTGGTACAGGACACACCAATTCTTTTCTTGATCTCGCGGGAAACGTAGAATTTAATAAAAGGAGAAGCGGTTGAAAACCCACGGCACTCGACATTTTCTTGCTTCCGAACATGGTGGACGAGCGGAGAAGCTAATCCAAAGAAAAAGGGAAAGATGGCGAACGAGTTACGAGGGTGAGGATGGTCGTACATCTCTAACGACATCTCATCGCCGTAATTAGTTGTAATTCTTTCGTTCGTGACCTTAGGAGGCGCGTCGACGGAATACGATATGAAGGAAAGGAGTTTTATCTGGCGCATACACGCGGCTGGACTTTTCTAGTAGACGACGGCAGCGGCGCGACGGTGAATGTAAAACTGCCAGAACGCATGCAGGAATGTAGATTTTTCTTGTTAACTTTCTACACGCCTCTGACGTCACGAGAATCATTGTCGAATGCATTACGGGGCGCGTAGTAGTTTTAAATATATGTAAAAAAAAGAAAAAAAATGTGGCCAAGATGTGTAAAGTCCATTTCCTCTAGCAATCAGATTCTAAGGTCCGTCGTTGAGGGGGTATCCTGAATTAGGAGGTCTAAAGAAAGCGGTTTTTCGTGAATTTTTTTAGGATGGAAAAAATAATTAATTTTGTCGAACTTTTTATCCTATTTTCATACGTATTTGAGTAGTCCGTACAAATTTTTTCAACAAGAAATATTCAAATTGAGTCGACTGCGACGCACATTTGTAGAACTTCTCACGATTAAAACCTCCTATCGGCGGGAAAGATGCAGGTCGTAATTTTGGTTTGACACAAACAAAAAAAAAACCAAAAGAAATGTTCATTTTCATACATTTTTCTTCTATGTGAATATGTTTATTTTACTAAATTATGGTGTAAAATATATTTATTTTGGTAATCTAAAACGAACGAAATACTTCTCCTCTGCATTATAAGATGCATACCTCGAGGTATATATACATTCAATGTAGTTCTTCAATGAATACTTCTATTAAGAATCTTCATAAAATGAGTGATGGAAAGAGATATTCTTCAATCGCAAGAAATAGTTTCTTCATCTGTGTATCATATATACGCAGTTTATTTTCAGGTTGAATTTAAGGTTAAAAGCTATGGAAACTATTCAATTTTATGGTTTATGTATTAATGTTATTAATGATATTACGTTATTAAAATGAAACATATTTTATTTGATGTGTCAGCTTATCAAAGTAAAATGTTTATTTTCATGCTTTAACTATAGATTACCGAAATAAGTTATTTTATTTCACGTTTTACATTATCAAAATAAAATATTTTATTTCCTGAAATTTTATATCCCATTTGAAATACTATTTTATTTGAATTCTGAAGAATCTATTATTAAAATAGTATTTAAGATATTTTCTCTACAAGTATTACCCACCTCTGATTGCAGCTACAGTACGGTTTTAGCGATCCCGAGGTACCCTAGCTATAGGGGGCCAATGGGCCCCAACAAACTAATTACGTTTCTCTACATTTTCTCCATTCACCGGCGTCCCTATTAGAATACTACAAAACGTAAAAGCAATGTTAAAATTAACGAATATTCTAAAACAGTCCACTGCAAGACTGGTACAACAGGTGTTACAGTGGCGTAGACGATTTCGCGCCCTCATAAATAAATAAAAGTTAAGTAAAAGTGATTAGTGAGACTCTAGAGTTCGCGATGCATCCAGGAAGACTGAAAAAAATTGTAGCTTGCCGTAATGGTTGAGTTTACGGATGAGGGAGCCACGGAATTTCTATATTTGCGAGAATCTAACGGTTGATGCCATCGATGATGGGTTTTCCTCGCTTCTGAACGCGCACAATTTTACTGAAATTCAATGGTCCGTTAGGCTGTCTTTTTAGGGTTCGCCAAGCGAATCAGAGCGACGGAGCGGAAATTGGAATTGGGATTCCCAAGAGGTTCGTCCAACCCGTAAGTTAGATTCTTGGAATTTATGGAAGAGAGGGTATTCACCTCGAGGTATTCTATTAGATTAGACGGGTATCGGTGATCGAGTAATTGGATGACGATCATCAAATGAATCGCCTGCTCATTGAAAATCGCTCGATTACACGAAACAGATTAAATGTCTGGACGCAGGATGCGTAACGGCTACTTACGCGAAGTTTCCTTTAAATTGCGCGCTATTAAAGTCATTAAATTAATAAGGGAAAAGTGGGATAATCGATGTATCCTTTTTGTGGCGTGTAAATGCAAATGAGATTGATAGACCAACATGTTTATGGAGAAGGGAAGAGAAGTAAAATTTATACGGTGAATGTTGTGTAACTCTTCGTTTTCGTTCGAAAAAAATTATGCGTTACATTCTATATCAATTTCGCGATAAGAAAGATAAGTATTGTGCAATGAATGAAGTACATAATTTGTAAAAATAAGCCCAAATAAGATACGTGACGATGTTTAGCAACTTGAAATCTAATCTTAAAAGTCGTAAATTGTAGGTTTAGCTGCAGGTCCAGTAAACACCAATAAATTTAATTATCCTGATTAAACGATTTCGTAAGCATCTTTTTGGTGTAAATATTTGACTCTTTAACGGCGCTTCGAAAAGTACAATTTCAAGTCTTTGGTAGGGAATATAATTGTAACGAAGGTGTAGAAAAATATTGTATATTTACATAATTTATTTACACTGGCAAGTTTGGTGATAAAGAAATCACAGTTTCCGTAAATGTACACTAGTAAACGTTATTTAAGAAAGTCGCTAGTCTTTTCTTGCTTCAAAGCTAATAGACACTTTTTCGATGCGCGATCGCGTAAATGATTTAGAGTTATAAGTTCGTTCTCTAAAGTTTCACTTTGATGTTCGAAGTATGTTATTAATTTCTGAAGCATTTCTGTAGCTTCTGCATGATTCAAACTAGTTAATTCTTCGTGACACCTGTTATCTAGAAAAGCTTTTGTTTCTTCATCTTGAGCTTCCTCTTCTTCCTGGGTGGACAAACATACGGTAACAAGGTTGTCTTCCAATAGGAGCTGGTGATCCGTGCTGTCATTAGGTATAGATTCCCCTAACAAATTTTCACCAGAAATCGTAAGTCTGATTCCATGACGCGCTTTCCATCTTCCTAACCATCCCACACTAGCAGTGAAAGTAGGATCTCCGCTAAACTTGTTGTTAAGACTGAGAGCCTTTTGTCTCAGCATCGGTCCTGATATCGAGACACCATTCTCACGTTCTTGCATGTACCACACGTAGAGGGCTTCGTCGAGCATAACGTTCTTTGCTTTTTTAATCGTTCCTCTATTGCCTAAACTGTCCCTGGAAACCATCTTAGCACAAAAGCCTTCAATTTCCTTTCTGTTCTTTTTCCAGTCGGAAACAGTCGATGCCCCTACCCCCAAGTCAGTAGCAACGCGTTTCATCGGCTCACCTTTGTCGATTCTGAATAGAGCTTCCAGTTTCTTCTCCATAGTCAATGTCACTTTTTTTCTTTTCCCTGACATCCCTAGACACTTCAAACGTATAGAATACACTGTTCTGTAACAAATGATATATATGGTAACAAGCAACAGCAGAGAGCTGTGTATAGATGTGTCATGACCTACTTGAGATATTCCTACGTGTGACATACCATTCAATCGCACAAATATCAACATAACATGAAGAAATGGAGTATCTTCTAACAAATAAGAATTTAGATTATTGATTGATATTATTTTTATCCATATCGCGTTGTAATAGAGTGATTTATTACATATTATCATCAAATGATTCATTTACTGTATAGTGAATATAGTGACATATAAATGTAAACAAACAACAAGGTTGACTGGATGTTTCCAGAAGAGGTAAATGAAATAAATCTTCCATTTATTAATTAAAAAGAAAGAAGTCTTGTTATCTCGAAACTGATATTTTCTTCTAAAATTCTTGCAATTTCCTACAAGCGTCGAAACTGTTAATTATATCGACAAACAAATCCTCGTTTGAGAGGTTATGTAGTCCAGTCTTGTCGACGTCGTTTTCACTTAGGCATACGTCAAAATGAGCCTCCAACGAAATATGATAGTCGAAGAGTCCTACTCACCTCAAGTAGAACGTTATTGTGTTTACGAAATGATCGCATTTAAACTCACATTCTAAGTGTCACCTAACCACCAACCGATAGGTGAGCAACATCTTGCTCGTAGCGACCTCTGCCATTTACTCGTAAAAATGTAATCAAGAATCAGGAAGTTTAGTGATTGCATTATTTACAAATTGTAGGTCAACTATGCAGTATAATCGAAAAGTACATATCGCACAGTTGACCTTAGTGGTTCTCTAATCACTCACAAAATAACGTCAAGGTTAGGTCAGATTCCGCCATTTTTTTAGCTAATTCCGCGAAATTCAAGAACATAGGCTTCTTTATTATTATCCTTATTATTCTTATGTCTTATTAGGCTTATTTATTATTCTCTTTGTGGAGGAGATTAATTTAAGCAATCGCTGATTGTAAATTTGATACGGTTAGTGTAAAGCGTGGCCAAAATTTAACTGTATACTTTACTTACAATTAGCTGCAAAACTGCTTAGAATAACATATTAAATTGTAAATAGAAATGATTGTGGAAAAAATATTTAGGAAATGAAGCTAAACAATATTTATTCGCCAAAAAAAAAATGACATTTTCAGCATACAAACATTGCAACACGATATGCTTTTCAAATTGAATTAATTAGCTGGAAAATGACGGAAACCCGGTCTAACTTTGAGCTAACCTAGCCTTATTTCGTGATTCTGATTGGAGGGTCTTTAGTTGACCTCGTTTCCCTTGAAATTCATGAATTTGTGTCTAAAGTGGGCCTTTCCGACGAAAAAAGCGACAATCTGTGCGTGTCTTGCCACGAAGTCATCGACAACTTCTGTTCGACGATACTCTATTCATCGAAATTCAAATCACCCACTTCCAGCGCGTCCGGATGATTCCCGGGTCCATTGTATTCATATCGTCATTGTAAATTCCCTCGCGAATTCGTACACGTTCCTAACTCGAGAATGGAGGCCTAATGTGGCACGTGGGAGTGGAAGATGCCATTAACGCGAGACTTACAAAAGGCACCGCTATGGCGTGGACCAGAATGCGTGCGAGTAGATAGCGTGTAGCTGATAGTCGGGTCGTAGGCATTTTTAGCGAGATAATACGTTTCATTCAGTCACGCCTCTAATAATTTCAAGAAGACCTGTTTACGCCCTTCTCGTTCATGTACGTGCTTGGAAGTTAATGTCCGCGCGGAATATAAATTTGTCGTGGTTACATATAGGACGACAGATGGAGCGGAGGGGGTAGTTGCCGCGTGACCTTGACCAGTCAATATTTTCTGCCTTGTAGGGAACTCAATTGGCGCCAAAACTTTGACAATTTTTTCTGGGGAAACGGTTCGTTTGCGACGCATGGTTCCTTATGAACTTCTCAGCCTCTCGGCGAGTAGAACATGTAGAAATATTATTTAACCTCGAATTTCTTTAGCGGAAGTGAAGAATAACAAATTTCTGAACACTGTCGATTTGTTCGTAAGCAGTTCCCTCGACGATACCGGGTGGTTCTCTAAAGTTCTTCGCTGAAATTAAGTATAGGTAGTGATGCGAGTCGCGGATTCGAGCCTAAAATTTCCGTGACACTGCAAGTGGGTACCCGCTGGCCTCAAAAAACCAGTTTTTAATGAGCGGTTCGCGCGCAAACGATTTGCAACGAAATTCGTTTATCTCGTTCCTGGTTTCCGTGAGATCGAGAACACGGCGTATAATTGCATAACATAACTCGTTGCCCAATCTGTTCCGTGAAAGTTATAATTTTACAATTAACGTCCGCAGGAAACCGAATGACTCACTCGCGCCTCGTAATTAAGACGGCGGATCCTTGTGCAAACGAATCGTTATCGGTTCGGCAAACCCTTTGCGGACCTGCGTCGAGTCTGGCTCGACGAAAGTGTAATACGACAAAATTGGAACGTTAGGATGATCGTGAAAGGTTAAAATGGTCGAAAAGGGAAACAGCGCCGACCTTAGCCACTCTGGTATCCTGAGTAACCCTAACTTTTATTATTATATATAGAAATCTTAATTTAAAACAAGTTCAAATTAAGATAGTGACGCGGTATTAATTCTGTGGTAAAATAAAAATAATTTGGGGCACCTTGGTTTCCCTGGTACGTGGCGCTCTGCGCAAATCGATTACGCATCACAATTAAGATGGCGGGTAAAGGGTCGAAATGGTCGAAAAGGAAAGCAGTGCCGACCTTAGCCACTCTGGTGCTCCTGAGGAACTCTAATCATATAAAATAAAATAATTGGGGCGCAGTTTGGATTCTTCTGATGCACCCAAATTGATTATGCATCTTTAAATGGAGTTTGCGGCAAAAGAAAAATGTAAGGTGGAAGATATTTTTTACCCATGTTGAACTCGACGTTGCGATCGGGGAATGTCAGTGACACGGTGCCCAAAGGTCGCGGAAAATAATCGTAACTAATCATACCTCTGCCGAGATTATCGTAATAAGTGTTTTTCCGAGGCCAACAGAGAGGTCGTTGTTTCGTGACCGTGTAAGAACCCCCGACAGTTACGAAGTTGGTAATAAACCAGCGATTGTGCGATAGTTGCGCCATTGGCGTGCATTTTCAACGGCAGTTCTCAAATCTATGTTCGAATACTCAGTTTGTACCAATTCCAAATTAAAACTAGCTAGTTATTGTTGCTCGCTTGATTCATATAGGTATTCGTGTTAATTTTGTGTGCGACCCTTTACGGTCGGATTTCCGATTACAGCGCCATCTATCGCGAATAAAAAAAAGTGTTTGAAACTAGTGTTTTGAAAAAGTCTCATAGCCTGCTTTCACAGTGCATGATAAAGAATGAGGTGTTCCATTAAAAAAATCATGTTGACCTTGACGTGACTTTGACCGGTCCTTTGAAGGTCAAACGGACACGATCGTTCAATAGAATTTTTGAAACCCTAAAACATTTCTCTAAACCATTTTTCTCACCAATGTTCCATTTTGGAAATATTTGACTGTATCCATACTTTTGGAGCACTTTGTACGTATATATATGTGTATATATATATATATGTATACATATATGTGTTATACATGTGTTATACATATGCATACGAATGTAATAATAGTAATATATGTATATATATATATATATTATTTCCGTTTAGTTATTCGCTCATAAATTTATATTCTCCTATCTAGATTGCGTTATTGAGTTAAGTTTTCTTAAAAAAAACTACTGGACCGAATTAGAACAAAATCTAATCAGCTCTAAGTTGGATTGATACACATCGATTGCATCATCGATCATTTTGATCTCGCTATTAGTTTTTTTAGAAAACGTTAACGAAAAATTTGTTTGCATACATACTGGAGATCTGCTAAAAAATCGATTTTTCATTTTAGGGGCAAGTACAATAACTTCCCTATAAATCGGGAAGTTAATAATTATAAAATCAAAAGGAAATCCCACGAAGGAAGTATCATATACTTATGAATTAATCTAAATTTCTTTGTTTGTTAATCAAGTTTTAAAAATTAAACAGTTGTGCGAATACTTATTGCTTCAATATTTCTATCGATTAATTGTATTTTTTCTTAATAATTTCGCAACTTACATAAATAGCTATTCTTTTTGTACTCCATCTATTCTAGAGCTTTCCAGGAATATGTAGAATGTCATTGCTTATAAAAAACAAGTTAATAAATTACAATATTACATATTTTTTTTTGGAAATTGATCGGTGTACGAATACTTTCTACACCCGCTGTATATTCAAATACTCAGTTTGCATCGATTCCAAATTGAAAAATGTGAAAATTCATGCATTCGATAAGCCTGTAAAACTTGTACAAAAATAAATCCTTGTCTCTGATTGGAAGGGGGGTTCAAGTGGCGAACCGGAAGTCATCAGACGCGACCTCTTCTTTCGGGCGGGAGATGGGGGGGACCACCGTGAATTGGTCGAACTGTCGGCGTCTTTTTCATCGGGGCTTACGATTTAATAACGCTCAGAAATTGAAATTAAACGTCGGCGTCGTGTGCAAACTTCTGAGAAACCAGTGATGTCATCTGAATTAACGAACTGTCGTCCAGCTAAACAGATTACCGAGCCGCGAATGGTGTCGTCTCGCAGTTGTGCAAAACGGTTTCGATTTTATCTCTCGAACAGGAAAAATCGCGCCGAGCTGAAACTTAAAAGTTCCTTCCTTCCTTCCGTGTTACTTTTGCGTAATTAAGACTTTGCGTGTGAATTGGCAAAATTGGCTGCGAGCTGCGCGGAGGAAGGCAATCTTTTTACGATAGCAGCGCGCCGAGCCCTTTCATTCATCTGGCATAACAGTTCCTGGCCGGAAGCATTTCTTCGTTGTGAGAAGTAGAACGGCCCCGCTTCTGTGCAGACGAACACAAGACGAACTAAAACGCGCGTAACGTGTTCGGAAATTATGGCTCGACTGGGAAAATGTTGTAAAAATAGAGTACTCGTGCGAAGTAACACTTTGGGGCGAACTTGAGTGGAATACGAATAAAACAAAAGTTGCGTGGAAGAATCTCAGAAATTCTATATTCTATATATTTCATATATTTTATTTTCTTGTTTGGTTACATAAAATCACTAAAAATTAATGCGAGTTGAATATAGAATTATATATTTCGTTAATTAAGAATTTCCCCTTTACCGAGATTATGTTATTTTCGCAATTTTTCCAGATGAAAAATTCACGGTTTGATAGTAAACAAGCATTCCTCGAGAAAGAATTATCAACGTATTCACGTCCAATTTTAGAAATGAGCTCGGTCGTCGATCAATTTTGCTGTCGCGGCCTTATTAATAATCAAAGTGTTTGTGAGTCAGTCTGTTGATAAATTCGTAACAAACAGCCGCGATAAAAATGCACTCCGCTAGTTTACATAATTACTGCGACACCAGGCACCGCTTCGTAACAATCTTATCGCATTTTACGTGACTTATTAACTCTTCGACTGCGGGATCATTTTTGCTGAAAATGGTTAATAAGTAGATTCACCCAAGAAGTA